GTCCTCATCAGCAGCACCCGCACCTGCCCTGGTGCAGCTCACTTCCTTTCACTCCCTTGATTTCCCAGTTCCCTAACCGCTCTGGTTCCTGGCTCCTTCCCCTCCAGTTGACTTCAGACAACTTGACACCCTGTCGCCACAGGCATCCGAGTCCACAGACCTATTTGTCCTGTGAGACCCCAGGGTTGGAGTGATCTTTGAGACATTGTGCTTCCCTCCTCTTCTTGTGTTCAGTCTTTCTTCAGCCCACTGTGCCTAATGCGTGCTTACAAAGGTCTCCACGCATCTTTCAATGGCCCAGCCCCTTGGACTCCCCTCCCGCTTTCACAGCCTGATCCCTGGACTGCTTTTGACCACTCCCTCCTCAGAAAACCCCATGCTCATTCAGCTGCCATGCCCTCATGCAGGCCTGGCTCGCCTGGCAACCCGCTGGCTCCTGCTTCTCAAGCTCAGATTTTCTCGTGCTGCTCCTGGCCCAACTTTACTCTCATCAACAGTCTCCCTTGCAGCTCAGACCTTCTCCTGTCACTACCCGGACATGTGAGGCTCAAATCCACATCCTGTCCAATCTCCCTCCCAACCCTGACATGCGCATTTGCAGTCAAATGCAATCATGCATTTGCAGAGGGGCAAAGTCGAGCAGGATTTTACATTCACCGGTTCCAGAATCAGACGTTTATCCTATAAATCCAATTCTTGCTCTGTGTTCCTGATTTCAGAAGATGACAATTCTCTAGAGGTGAATCCCCTATCCCTGGGCCAAACCTCTGAGTTGCCAACAGTACCCCAAAAAGTTTATGGAAAAATAGCAGTACAAGATGAGTTTACTTTTGGTGTGAACAAAGTTTAAAATGCGGGCCTGGCATTGTGTCATGGTGGTCAAGCCTCATTCTTTAAAACCAGCATCCCAGATAGGCTCTAGCTGCTCCGCTTCCCATCCAGCTGCCTGCTAAAGCACTGGGAAAGCACAGCAGGATAGCTTAGATCTGTGGGCCTCTGCACCCACATAGGAGAATTAAATCCTCGCCTTGAATGCGCCGGGATCCCATATGGGCACTGGTTCTAGTCCCGGCAGCTCCACTTCCCATCCAGCTCCCTGCTTGTGGCCTGGGAAAGCAGTGGAGGATGGCCCAAAGCCTTGGGACCCTGCACCCGTGTGGGAGACCTGCAGGAAGGAAGGAAGAAAGAAAAAGAGAAAGAAGGAAGGAAGGAAGGAAGGAAGGAAGGAAGGAAGGAAGGAAGGAAGGAAGGAAGGAAGAAAGAAAGAGGGGAACTTGCCCAAGATCTACAAATCAGTGGGTGGCTGAACTGGATCAAGACCGAGAATCAGGGGACATCTTGTCACACCTGCCACAATCTCCCCTTTGCTCTCAGGGAAATTATCACAGCCTCCACACAGGATTGTGAGCCCCAGGGAATATTCTGGAAGCAAGAAAAAAAAGTAACCAAGGGCCCCAGCGCCATAGCCTAGTAGCTAGAGTCCTTGCCTTGCACTGGGATCCCATATGGGTGCCGGTTCATGTCCTGGTGGCCCTACTTTCCATCCAGCTCCCTGCTTGCGGCCTGGGAAAGCAATCAAGGACTGCCCAAAGCTTTGGGACCTCATACCCACATGGGAGGCCCAGGGGAGGCTCCTGGCTCCTGGCTTCAGATAAGCTCAGTTCCAGCCATTGCAACTGCTTGGGGGGAAAGAATCAATGCATGGAAGATCTTCCTCTCTTTCTCTCCTCCTCTCTGTATATCTGACTTTCCAATTTAAAAAGATATTTTTTTAAAAAAAGTAATCAGGAGATATGGGCTAAGTAAGAAACACAGGCACAGCTAAGATCTTGGAAGACAGGTATATTTTTTCCTCTCCAGCTCCTTCATGTCTGCTTCCTCACAGTGCATGAGCCAGAGGCTAGAATGAGGGGCCGGAGCGGGAACTTGAACCCAGGCACTCCAACATGGGGCCTGTGTGTCCCAACCAGGCTTCTACCGGCCAGGTCAAATGCTTGCTTCATAACCAAGCGTTGTCTGATTCCATCCCTGGATCTGCGCTCCCCCTGTAAGCCATCAGGAAGGTCCCAGAAAAATGCCCGATTTTTCTTGTTGTTGCTATCTAGAAAACATGTCAGATGGGATTTCTATTTCTTTTTCTCTCTTTCCTTCTTTCCTCTCTTTTCTTCCTTTCCTTTCCCTTCCTTCCCAAAAGGTATTTTAAAACCACTGCCTTAGTATCAGATGGAGCTCTAGACAAACGTACGTGAAGGGTCCCAGGAGCCTGGTGGATGAGCTGCTGCTGCTCCAGCTTAACCATGGAAGTCACTGGGATTCCCTCATTATCCCCTGGCCGGAACTGGTCAATAGACCTCCCTCCTGTGGGCTGGCATCGCTGAAACCCTCACTGGAAAAACAAGCTTGCTGAAGAGCAAAACAGGTGTAGTGCAGAAATTTATGAAGATTTAATTGCGTAGTAGACCTACAAAGGAATTCAGGCCCTCGTTCTGCTGAAAAAGGGGAAAAAAAGGAAAGTCTGGCAGTGAATTAGCACACAGCGTCTACCTGAGCAGCCTGAGACGATGGATCCCATTATAAGTCGTCATTACGAATGCTATTGATCCTGTGTTTTACATGAACTCGGCACTCTGCAGGACCTTACCGCAGAAGAGCCCTGAAGAGCATGAAGAACCCACACTCACTGCACGTAGGAGGCCATTAACACCACAGAACTGACACTACTCCTGAATAAGGACAATGGCAGCAGCACAGCAGGTTATCCAGACTCCTCCGCACGGAGGGGAGCAACACACTGGGGGAAAGAGAGAGAGGAAGAGAGAAGAGTGAGAGAAAACGGGAGGACAGGAGAGGGGGAGAGGGAGAAGGAGAGAGGCAGACATCTTGGGGTTCGAGGTTAGATCCAAGAATGGGTTTCAGGCCAAGCAATCCTGGTCCACGTTTGTAACTTCTTTGAGCCTGCTTTTGTTTGTTCTTACAATAAAATGTGTAATACTCACCCTGTACATTAATGAGGATGAAGTAGAACAAAATGTTAAAAGAAAAACGCAGCAAATGCCTGGTACATAACAGGTGTTCACTGAACAACAGCATCCCTAACTGGCCCACCTGTACCGTCCTGTCCAGCCCCACTTCCGGTCCCCCAAGCTGGCTGCACACAAAGGGATTATTGGAAAACAAACCAGAGAGGAGCTTTATTTTCACATATCAACAGGTATTTAACTTACCCGTTGAATTCATAATTGTTTCTCAAAGGGAAAGAAAAAACCACCAGAATAAAGCATTTTTATTAAATACTGGTAACAGAAGCAGGTCTGTGGCACAGTGGGTTAAGCCACTGCTGGGATAGCTGCAGCACGTATGGAAGTGCTGGTATGAGTCCCTGCACCTCTTGCTTCCAATCCAGCTTCCTGCTGATGCATCTGAGAGGCAGCAGACAAAGGCTGGAGTACTTGCGCCTCTGCCACCCATGCGGAAGGTCCAGAAGGAGTGCTGGGTTCCTGGCTTGGGTCTGGCCCAGCCCTGGCTAGCCAATTAAACAAACAAAAACCCCAAACAAGAACTCCCACTGCTTTCCACAAGATGAAAATGGAAACATAAACTTTTAAAAACAAAACAAACAAACAAACAAAAACTAGCAAGACTTTGAGTTGCTAGATAATTTCAATATATCCAGAGAAGCTCTCGTGGTGATTAGAGAGACATAGATAATTTCAATATATCCAGAGAAGCTCTCGTGGTGATTAGAGAGACAGAGAGAGAATCTGGCAAGATGGCTCAATGGCTAAATCCTCACCTTGCATGTGCCAGGATCTCATGTGGGCACCAGTTCCCATCCAGATCCCTGCTGTGGCCTGGGAAAGCAATGGGAGATGAGCCAATTCCTTGGGACCCTGCACCTGCATGGAGACCTGGAAGAAGCTCCTGGCTCCTGGCTTCAAATCAGCTCAGCTCCGGCATTTGCGGCTACTTTGAAAGTGAGCCAGCAGATGGAAGATCTTTCTGTCTCTCCTTTTCTCTGCAGATCTGCCTTTCCAGTAAAAATAAACGAATCAGTTTGCAAAATTTGAGACTGTATTAATCCCTACTGCTGCTCCATGGCCCACACCCCTTCCCCCAAATAGTCCAGTCATCAGAAGGCATTGTCTACTTCCTGTATGAAGTCATGGTGCCACAGCTTTAAGAAAAGATCAGACATAGAACTTTGAACAAGGATGCAAATAAAAGGAAAATCAAAAACAAACAGCAACTGAGAGAAAAAGAAAAAAAAAAAAAAACAGGTTCTCATACAATCTCTAGTCCAAAGCGATCACTTAATACGAAGATATTTTATTATCAGCCAAACACCATGAAGTTTCCGAGCGGCCACTTGGTGGTACAACAGAATCTGTCAGCTACCAAGGCCTCCTTGGCCATTTTCATGGTCCCGGGCGTGAGCTGGAACCCAGCAGCCGCTGCTGGCCGGTGTAACCAGGGGTGAGTTGGAACCCAGCCAGCGGCCCTGGTCCGTGCACTCTCCGTGAAACCTCACCCTGACTCCCAAAGCCATGCACTACGATGCAAGAAAACGTTCTTGTCATCCTCAGGGTTTGGGAAGTGGAAGGTTAAGTCCTTTATCTGGATAAGGTCTAATATCTCTGGGTCTATAACTTATCCACAAAACAGGAATTCCGATTGGTGTCGCCTTGTGAGTTTTTCCAACAATCGCATTAAGAATGAGGCTCAAAAAAAAAATAATAAATCTAAAACAGTTTGCATTGTCGAAGTACAAATTTCCTTAATAAGCACCTTGAGATCGCCAACTACAGAACCCACTGTGGGTGAGAAAATCCCCCAAATGTCAGAATTTCCCTTCCCTTTCCGGAAGCACCCATGTCTGTTTCTGAAGATGTACGACTGGAGCAGCAACCAGATTATTTCAAAAGGCCAAGCACCTCGGTAGCGAGAACCTTAGAGGGAGATCCCGAGCATGCTTCGGACAGGGGTCCCGGCCGGGGATCCCGCTAGCAGCACGCTTCGTCGGGCTCGCTGCAGGGCGATGGCGCCGAGGAGGCCTTGGACTCTCCGTCACTGTTGCACTCAGCCCTGTGCGGCGTGGCGGCACCGGGCAGGCCCTCCTGGCCGAGAGTGTGCCGCGCCAGAAGCTCCTGCAGGTGCTTGATGTAGCCGATGGCGGCGCGGAGCGTCTCCACCTTGCTGAGGCGCCGGTCGGCCAGCTCGCGGGGTAGGTGTTCTCGGAGGCGCGCGTAGCCCTGGTTCACGCAGCGCACCCGCTGCCGCTCGCGCTCGTTGCGCTTCCGCAGGCAGGTGGGCTCGAAGGCTCCGTCCAGCGGCAGGGGTGGACACGGCGGTCTCCGCGCGCAGATCCCGGGCACCGGCTCCCAGCACGCGGCGTCCAGGCGCCAGGAGACCCCGAAGGGGTGGTCCCTTAGAGGCAGGCGGGGCGGGGTCCCGGGCGAGCCCAGGGTCTTGGTGCTCAGGGAGTACGGCAGGGTCAGTAGCGCGGACGGTTTACGTGTCTCCATCACTCGCCGCAACACACACCGGTCATCGCCAGGAGCGTAATCTCTCCGGAAAGAACGGTAAGACTCGAAACCTTCGAATCCGAGACGCTGGTCCATGCGGGCCTCCTGACGCAGCCCGTCTGGCGTGGCGAAGGAAGTTAGGTGGGCGGACAGGCTTCAAGATAGTTTTTGTATGATTCCCCAAGTTCACCACAAGTCTTGATCTTTTTGGAAAGATTCGGACCGGAGATGGGAGGCCAAGGTTTAGAACCCGCTCCTAAGCCCGGTTTTCCCGCTCTGATCTTTTTTCAGAAGATGTGTAGGGGTTCCCTCTCCCTGCTGGGTCCCCTTGCGAGCGCCCAAACCAAACGCAGAGTCATTTTGCAAAGCCACCAAAGCTTTCCAATGCCTGTAATCCCCCGCCCTGGGGCTGGGAGGCAGAGGGCTGGGCGAGCTTCGAGCTTCTGGATTCGCGAAGAGCTCCTCCCAGCAACCCGCAGCTCTCCCAGCGAAAGTTGACCCAGAGGTTTTCTCCTTGACAATCAGACTCTGAGTGGCGGCAGCGGTGGCCGGCGTCCAGGGCTAATGATGGAAAGAGAGAGCGCTGAGAGCGGCGTTTGCAAACCTAACACCGGGCGGAGGAGGAAGAACGCCCCGCAGCCAAGGCTACTCTCTTGTGATTAGATGTGTCAAGTTCAGGAGGACCGCGAAATCAAACTTTAAAAAAAGAAACCCTAGTTATTACACTTGAATTTTGTTTAAGGGAACAAGGGCAAAAATAGACACACTTTAGCCACAAATACGTAAGGGTCCGCAGGTTATGTTCCAACTCGGGCTGAACTCAAGTGCTTTATGTACCTGTTGCTGCTTTTAAAAAGGGCATCAAAAGAGTAGTGACAAACCACTTGCCGTGCTTACTGTAAACACAGCTTAAAACCCGCACCCTGTCCCCTCCTGTGCTCACCTAGGCTAGAAGGATGTCGTTTTTCCTTCTCTCCAAGTGGTTTTTCGTTGTATTTTTCTTTGTCGCAGGGTGGAGGGGAAAGGAAAGGGTGGGGATATCATCTCTTGCTCTTGCCTGGAGCAAGAAAGCAACCTGTGAAAGGAGAGCCCCCTACTTCCAAGGAGAAAGGATGAGAGCTTTGAAGACGGGTCTTTTTAGCACACAACCCCAAACCGAATCATTAATCCATCCATGTCGGGAGTAGTGCTTTGAAGATCAAAGGGTCATTAAGAACCCAACTGTACTGGCTAATGTCAAAGAATGTGTTATCACACCAAAAATCAAATTTCCTCTTCTGCACAGCAGCACATGAAAGGCAGCCTTCCACTTGAAAAGTCCAACTTGAAAACAACAGAAGAAACCCCCTCATCCCTGATCAGATCTTCTACCCACTCCTCGGGAGTTACAGGGTCGTCCTGGCATGTTTGTATTTTATTATTATTTTTTTTGACAAGTCCTGTGCATCCCTGTTTATAAGATCTGCCTGCAGCAATTGAGAACACACTTCCATCCAGGCCAATCAAACAGAAATAATTATTCCTTTCAGGTGTGAGTTAGTCACATTTTTAAAATGAACTGTGTTCCAGCAAATCAGCCTGCATGTTGTGATGGATCTCTCAGTGCAAATCATCATTTCCCTTTCCTACTAAGAGAAAAAAACAAAACAAAAAACCACCAGAGACACAGGCAGGCTGTTAGACCCCCAAGATGCTTTGGGGTCATGTCAAAGGTTTTGACCTGAAGAACGACAGCAGCAGGTGGAGGAGGAGGATGTATTCCAAGCAAAGAGGAGAGTGCACTTCTTTGTAGAATGAGGAAGAGGTGGATGGGAGCATTGCCATGTACTTTTCATTCTTGGGGAGGCAAAAATGATGGAGAATGCTAACGTCTCAGGCTGACAAGGATTTGAGGACGGATGAGATACTTGAAGTTTGGGGGGGGACCCCAACTGTTAAAATTAAAAAGGCGTGTATCACATACCCTTTAAAACTGCATGCGCCACTTGAGCCTTAGACAATAAAATGGATTGCAACATCTGTAGTGATTTTTTTTTTTTAAAAAAAGGAAATGACCTCAAGGCTCTTGGAGGAAGAGTTCATCTGTGTGTGTGTGTGTGTGTGTGTGTGTGTGTGTGTGTGTGTGTGTAGAACTTGACACATTAGTAAGGATTTGCAGAGTTAGCCATAGGTGTGAAAGCAAACAGCGATGTCTGCCGGGTGAACAAGCAAAGGCTTGCGCATGGCGGGTAGGTCTTCGTACCTGCTCGTGAGCACACAGAGAATGGAGCGGAAAGGCACACAGCGAACTCGGTTGCCTACAAAAGGTGGCACTGCAGGCTGGAAGGGAGGATCGCTGTGTAACTTGTTGCAAATGACACATAGTACTTTTTTTTTTTCTTCTTCCTTAGAAGAAAGTTAAAATAGTAGATGTGCAGAAAACTCACAGGACTCCTTGACCTTACCGCTAGAGCGATTAGAATGCAAAGCTCCTGGACCTGACTTTTATGGCTTGTTATATAGCCTAGGAAAACTTTTTTTTTTTTTAAGAAATTCTCTTCCCCACACCCCACGGCCACCATTAAAAACAATCCAGACTTGATCCTAGAGTAATCTCCAGAGTCCAAGAAGTGCTGTGCAGTATGTAACTGCATGGTCAGGAGAACGCTGACGGATCCTTCTATTGCTCTTGACAAGCGGGAATGCCCTTGGAAGTCAGCTGCGTTTCCAGGGGACAGAGCGTGGGTGATTCATTCATGTATGCGGTAGGGAGGAGGGGCGGCTACCTTCTGCAAAAGAGCGACCGAAGGGGAAGGTTGTGATTCCTAAACACTCTTCACCTAATTTGACTCCCAGAAATATTTTCCCCCGCGTCAAGTTGTTTCTCCTAAGCTGTCCAGATCACCTCACGGGTGTGCTAAACCGCCCTGACGCTTGGAGCCGAGGGCGCCCTCGGATCAGGATCGGCTCCTGAAAGGTGGGGGAATTCACTAACAGGTGGGCTCGCCTTATCTCTAAGGAGAGAAAAACTTCTCCATCTCAGACTCCGGTCTCTCACCACCTGTTTGAAACTTGAGAGGAGAAGAGACTTGCGGCTCTTGTGCTGACACACGGGTGGCACGTTACAGATTCGGGCGTCTTTGGCTCAGGGCGCCAGGCTGTGCTCTTCTGGCCCCGTAGCTGCAGTTTGCACCCGTGGCCACAAGAGGGAACAGGGAACATGTCTTGTGACTTGGAAGCAGGATCCCACATTTCTCAGTGTTGTTAACTAAACGGACCGTGGAACAGGACTCACAGCGCAGGAATTAACTATTTGTATCATCCTGTGTAGCCTGCGTCAGGCATAACTGAAACAGAGTTAAAAAGACGACCGTGGAGGCCCGGCACGATGGCTCAGTGGCTGAATCTTTGCCTTGCACGCACCAGGTTCCCATGTGCGTGCTGGTTCGTGTTCCGTGTTCCGGCAGCTCCACTTCTCACGCAGCTCCCTGCTTGTGGTCTTGAAATGCATCTGAGGATGGTCCAGGTTCTTGGGACCCTGCGCCCGCGTGGGAGACTCGGAAGAAATCCCTGGCTCCTGGCTTTGGGATCAACTCAGCTCTGGCTGTTACAGCCACTTGGGGAGTGAACCAGCAGACGATATTAAAACTCAAAGTTGAAATAACAATATCTTTGCAGGTTAAAATACAAAGATATAAACATGAAAACTTCTTTGATTAAACACCCCAGGTCACTTTCCGCAGTCTTACTCTGTTCAACTAGAGGACTTGAAAGCCTGCATCAAATCAGAACTCATTTGGTGGGTACAGCCAGAAAGACACTGCACTGGAATCAGGATGTTTCCCTCAGTGAAACGGCCAGCTTTTGCCCCCACATGCATTCTGCTTTTTAGGCTTATTTGTTTGAAAGGTAGGGCTGCAGAGGTGGGGTGGGAGGTCCACTTCAGATTCCGTTCTCTACGGCCTGGGTGAGCAGCAGAGGGTGATGCAAGGAAAGCCTTGGGCTCCTGCACCTGCCTTCCCGGGAGACCTGGAAGAAGATTCTGGCTCCCAGCTTTGGATCAGCTCAGCTCTGGCCATTGTGGCCACTGGGAGGTAATCCAACATATGGAAAAGTTCTTTCTCCCGCTCTCTCTCTCTCTTCCCCTCTCTGTAATGTTGACTTTCAAGTTAAGTAAATCTTAAGGATAAAACCTCAAAATTGGTTTGATAAGATAGATAGACAAGTAACTACCATAAGGATAGGTACAATGGAGGAACATGCATTGGACTCCATATAGTCTGGGCAGTGGGCTTAGAATTCTTTGATTTGTTGTTGCGGTTTTTTTTTTTTAATGAAAATTTCCCTTTGGTTTTGAAGATTTTTACTAACAGAAAGAGAACAGATCTCACATTAGATAAGCATCGTCCCAGCTCAGTGAGGAGGGAGCCAAATGCTGCAGCCATCCTCCATTGCCTGCCCGTGCAGCAACAGGGAGCTGGACCAGAAGCGGAGTAGCTGGGACTGGAACAGCACCTCGGAACGGGCTGTGGGTGCCACACATGCCTGCCCATGCCAAGCGTTGTCTAAAGTGTTTCTAGCAGTCTGCGTTCTCAGCAACACACAATGAGGGTTCCGTTGCTCCATATCTGCACTGATACTTGTTGGTGGTCTTTGAAAAAAATTTAAGTTTTAAGTTATTCCTTTTGAAAGTCAGTTATGGGAAAAGATGAGAAAAAAAAAAAAGAGAGAGAGAGAGAGTGAGTTCTTCCACCCACCGATTCACTCCCCAGGTGACAGAACAAGTCAGTGCGAAGCCAGACTGAAGCCAGGAGCCAGAAGCTTCATCTGGGTCTCCCACAGGGGTGCCAGGGGCCCAAGCTCAAACATCCCGCTGCCTTCTTAGGTGCACTAGCAGGGGCCTAGATGGAAAGTGGAGCAGCCAGGGCTTGAACTGGGATGTCCGCACCACAGGTGGTGTCTGCTTCCACCCTCGGTCAGTTTAGCAGTTGTGTCATCTCACCTCACTCTGTGTGTGTATAATTATAAGAGAAGCAGAGAGACAATGTACAACCGGGTGGTGTGGGTGGTGCGGCGGGCAGAGGGAAAGACACAAGAGGGACTTCCCATCCACTGGTCGGCTACCCATATGCCTGCCAGGCAGGTATTGTTCTGGAACCCACGCAGGTGGCCAGAACCCAATCACCCAGGCCTCCCAGCGTCTGCATCAGCAGGAAGCTCAGATCAGACACCAGAGGTGGGTCTTGAACCCAGGCACTCCCATCTGGGATGTGGCTATCTTAATTGGCATCTTAACTGCCAGGCTAAATGCTCACACCCCCTCATTGTTTTATTTGCATTTTTTTTTTTTTTTGGTGCCTGATGATCTTGCGTATCTTTTTCTGCTTAATTGCTATCCGTAGATCTTGTTGGGTAAAGTGGGTGTTTAAGAACTTCACCCAATTTTGAAAATTTGATTACTGTTTATAGCCCGTGACTATATTCCTGCTGAACTATGGTCTTTTCACTAGTTGAACTCTAACTAGTGGCTTTAAGTGTCATGTAAATTAAAAATGTTATCGCAGAAAGAAAAAAATCAAAACCAAAATAAAGCCTGCTATCCGTTTGTTACATAATATCTCGTCATGCTTTATTTGAAATCATTTTTATTTTAAGATTCATTTATTCTTATTGCAAAGGCAGATTTACAGAGAAAAGGAGAAACAGAGAGAAAGATCTTCCATCTGTTGGTTCACTCCCCAAGTGGCTGCAATGGCTGGAGCTGAGCCGATCTGGAGCCAGGAGTCTCCTAGGGGTTCCCACATGGGTGCAGGTTTCCAAGGCTTTGGGCCATCACGAGCCATCTTCCGCTGCTTTCCCAGGCCACAGGCAGGGAGCTGGATGGGAAGTGGAGCAGTCAGGATGCTAACTCTGCCCATATGCTGGTGCCTGCAGATGGGGGGATCAGCCAGCTGAGCCACCGCACCATTTAAAATCCTTGTCAAAGAAATTTGTAAGAATGAGACACTACTGTGGTTTTAATGATTTGTAACTATTTTAATATTTATTGTGTATGAGTGAAACTAACATTATTTTCCTCTGTTTGATGCTTCACTCCTCAAGTGGCTACAACGGCTGAAGCTGAGTTGAGCTGATCTGAAACCAGAAGCCAGGATCTTCTTCCAGGTCTCCCACATGGGTGCAGGATCCCAAGGCTTTGGGTTGTCCTCGACTGCTTTCCTAGGCCACAAGCAGGGAGCTGGATGGGAAGCGTGGTGGCAAGGACATGAACTGGTGCCCATGTGGGATCCCAGTGTATGCAAGGCGAGGATTTTAGTCACTAGGCTATGGCACTGGGTCTAGAATTGTTTTTTACATTTTTATTTGCTTTACTTAAAGACTTATAAGTATTTACTTAGTAGAGCATCAAGTCTTTGAACTGTAAATTAAAAACATTATCTCCAAACAGTGAAATTAAAAATATTGAGTTGTCTTATTATTGCCTTCAAAGGATTTTATAGATTCAAATACAAATCCTTTTCTGTGAAAATATACTTTTATTTGAGGCAGTGTCATAGAGAAAGAAAGAGAGATAAATGGAGGTAGGGAGGGAGACAGCTGTCTTCATCTGTTGGTTCACACCCCAAATGGCAGTCCCAGCTGTGCCTGGGCCGGGAGCTCTGGGCCCAAGCACTGCTGCCAGGACAGCATGTTGGCAGGAAGCTGGATGGGAAGTTGGCAGCCTGGACCCCAGCCAACACTGTCACCCAGCAGGGCAGCTGTGGCAGGGGGTGACTTTCAGCTACAAATCCTTTGTCAGATGTTTGGGAACATTTGAAACTATTTCCTCCCAGTCTCTGCTCTTTTGTTGGCGTTCCAACAGCACTGGTTTTAATATTGATGAAGTCTAATTATGCATTTTTTTTTTAGTGGTTTGTGTGTCCTGTCAAGGCCACACAGAGTTCCTGCTGTATTTTCTCCTGGAAGGATTAGGGTTCTACCCATGACATCTAGCTGTCCTGATTTTACATCTACTTCTGAACTTGATGAAATTGTTCAGGAAGACGAGACACTTCGGCTGTAATCCTGCTGTCGGTAAGGCAGGCATCAGCCTCTAGGCCCCAGGTTGGATGTGGGTAAGGCAGGCATCAACTCTAGGCCCCAGGTTGGATGTGGCATTTTGTGGGATACTTTCACTGACTTCTGACAATGTGACTTTCTTGATGTAGACTTCTATTTGTGTCAATACGACAGCAAGAACATGGGCACCTGCCCGTGTCAAGGAGTTGATACTATCCCATTCCTCTTGTCCCAAACATTGTGCCTCTACTCTTTCACATTAGACTGAATTGTCTTTAAGATTTATTTTATTGGGCCCAGTACAATGACTTGCTTGGTGGCTAAGCCCTCACCTTGCACATGCTGGGAACCGGTATGGGCGCCAGTTCATGTTCCGCCTGCTCCACTTCCCATCCAGCTCCCTGCTTGTGGCCTGGGAAAGCAGTGGAAGGTGGCTGGTGATGGCCCAAAGCCTTGGGACCCTGCACCCACGTGGGAGACCTGGAAGAAGCTCCTGGCTTCAACTCAGCTCAGCTCTGGCTGTTGCAGTCACTGAGGGCATGAACCAGCAGGTGAGAGATCCTTTTGTCTCTCCTTCTCTGTAAATCTGCTACACTTGATCTTAGCCAAAAGGCCAAGAAGCGATCTCTCTGTAAATCTGCTTTTGCAATAATAAAAAAAGAGAGAGAGATTCATTTACTTACTTGAAAGGTAGAGTAGTGAGAGAATGAGGGATTTGGAAGGGCAGATGGAAAAAGAGCTCTTTCTGCCCCTTCACTCCCAAATGGCCGTGGGTGGCCGAGGCCCAGTCACGTGGGTGACCGAGGCCCAGTCATTTGGGTCATCTTCCCAGCAGCAGCATCAGGGAGCTGGATGGGAAGTGGACCAGGTAGGACTGTTCATTGTGCTCCATTATGGAATGCAGGCGTATCAGGCAGCAGCTTAAGCCACTGTATTGCAACGCTGGCCTCAGACTGAATTTTCGAAAATCATGGTTGGCAACCGATTGATGTAGGTCAGGACCTGTGCCTTGTTTCAAATCTCCTTATTTACATATATTTTAAAGTTTGTTTTCATCCTCTTGAAAGGCAGAAAGATAGCATGATCTTCTGTCTCTGTTGGTGTCTTCCCTAAATGCCAGCACCAACGGGGGCTGGGATGGGCCCCACTTGGGGCCCAGGTCCTGGAGCCACCATCTGCGCCTTCCGGCCCGTTGGCAGGATCCCAAGCACAGGAACGCAGTGGGAACCAGGCCCTCGGCTGGAGCAGGTTCCTGTCTCAGGCAGCAGGTTAACGGGCCACGCCCAGCCCGTATCCCTGACTGTGAGATGTTATGACAGCTTACCTGGGTGTGCACCTCTGCCTTCACTCCTGAGCTTGGTCCACCCCCTTTAAAGCCGTCCCAGCACTCCCGGCGTCTAGCAGTGCCTGGCAATAGTACGACACAAAGGGACAAGAGAAGGAAATGTGTACAAATCCCTAAAGACCATATGTATGATGCCAGTTAGGGAAACTAGGCAGTTTTCAGGTATAACATGAGGAAAAACAACCGGAATGTGATCCCAATTCCTCCTGGGTAACACTGCCACTCTCCTAGAGTAAATCCTCTCTCCGGAATTTTGGCTTTTGTGTGCCCCTCCCCCGCAAAAGCTGCCTACCACGACTGAAAACCGTGCATCCGCGGGACTTGAAGGGGCTCAGGATGCATCCCGGCAAGCGCACAGTCACGCCTGCGGCGCCCAGCAGCCCTGGTCGCCTAGCAACCGAGGGTCGATCGCTCGGCGCTCGACTCGACGGAGCGAGCAGCGGCGCTGGTCCCCGCGGTGCGCACGCGCGAAGCGGGTGGCGGTGGCGGCGGCGTGTGCGTGCGGCTTGCGGGGCGCACGCGCGGGCGCCGCGAGCGTCTGCGGAGCCGGAAACGCGCCGAGGAGGTTGCGCCCCTGGCTGAGGCGGCGGGCCGGGCGGGGCCGGGCGGGAAGCGTTAGGCCCCGGGGCGCGGGGCGCGGGGCGCGGGGATCGGCCGGGCAGCTCCACCCGGATGAGGAACAAAGCGGCGGGGCAGGCGCGCGCGGCCGGCAGGTGGGCTGCGTGCAGGCGAGGGCGGTCCCGAACCGGCCGCCGCTGGGCTGCGGTGTCCGCAAGGGCGAGGGGACAGGAGCTGCTGCGTCCTGGGCAGTGCTTGCTGACCGCTCTTGTCCTCCACCTTGACCCCAGGTTGGGCAGCCTCCGTCCCGAAGCTTCCGGAGGAGAGGCCTCCGAGGGTGCCCCGGCATGCCCCATCCCGTGGCGGCGTCCACGGGTCCTGGCCCTCGGACCAGGTTGGATGGCCCCGGGCGACCCCGCGCAACGGGGACCGCGCTTGTGCAGCGGTTGTGAGCAAGATGAGGTCGCACGTGAGCCCGGGGCGCAGTTCCTGATGCTGGTCCCCCGCCGCCGCCCAAGAGCGCTTTTCTCTCCGAACTTGGCCCCAAGCACCTACATCACAGGTGGGTAGGCAAGGAGGGGGTCGGCGCTGCCGACATCTTTGGAAGCTAGCTGATGAGTGACCGACCGGGGTGGGTGCCTTTGTTTCTTTGGTTGCCGCTGGGAAGTTCACAGGTGTGATTTGCCAAGTCCAGAAACTTGAGTGTACCAGTAGTAGGCTCGGTCCGCCACATAACATGTTTGTTGTTGACTGGCCCACACCTTTCCCCTCACTGTGTCTAATATCTATCTGGATCGCATAGTGGCCCTCATCAGCGTGCTTCGAATTTTCGCTGGTTGCCACGTGGCAGGGATGCTAAAGTGGGAAAAAATAACTTGTTGACTCTGGGAACTTCACGCAGATACTTTGAAAGTCCTTCAAGAAAGGATGCCAAAGAAATGTGCGCCTTTTGTCCTGGACCTTCTCAAAGGCTGCAGGTTTAAGAGGAGGAAGATGAAGCAGGAGAGGGTTGGAATTGTTGCAGTTGTTGCATTTTGCCAAAGCAGCTGCATTTCAGTTACCTTGTTCCCTTACTGTAAGAAACAGGTGTGATATGGGTGGCTGGCCAGTGGTTCCATAGGTCAGCTGGAAACACAGGAGCTCTGGAAGGTTCTGCAGAGCAGAAGGGAGATAGGCAGACCCCAGGACTGCTGCTTAGCCTCTGGTGTGGGTGAATAATTGCCCTTCGGAGTAGGACAGTCTTCGGAGGAGCCAATGGAGCTGCTTTTTTCCTGGGCTGCTTGCCCTTTGTGGGGTACCAGATGGATACCTTTGCCCGGTGGCTGCTGAGGTCACTACCTCTTGGTGACCTCCAACAGACTAAATCTGCTGAGCCTCTCATGGGAAAGTCTGGTTTGAACTGGTTTGAGGAGGCTTAGGAGTCAGTTCAAAAACGCTGATTTTATCTGGAGGTTAGATACACAAGTGAATAGGAGTTTTCAGAATGGGAGTTGAAACTACAGACTTTTGCTGGACATTTAAAAATGACCATTCTGGCTCCAGTGTTTAACTTGTGGGTGTAAGGTATAAAACTAGCTCAAGCCGGGAAACTTCCAAAATCAAGGTACGTTTGGGTTCCGTTGACCACCAGGGTGTCCTCCCCTCTGCCTCGCCTGCAAAGGTGTGTCTTGTAGTCTGGAAGCTTCTGCCTGACTTTGGTGGGGTTGAGGGCTTGTATGGTTCCCACCCCTCCAGAATTGCTCAGAGTGTCTGTGCTGTCCGCATTTGGCCTGTTTTATGACGTGTGAGAGCTTAGTTTTATGACATAATGGCCAGGGGCCAGGGCGAAGCCCACGGAAGTAGAAAATTGCAGGAAATAGGGCTGTGTGGACTTGAGGTCCACCTTCTCGGGTGCATGGGTGCTCACTGCTGGAACTGTGTGAAAGGCAAAATGCTTCCGTTGCGATTTCCATTTCCTTATCACTGTTGGGCAGTGAGTTAGATCTGTGTTCTAACCCCAGCTCTCTCCTAAGTGGGAGATCTGAGGTTAAGTCTCCTGACTCCCCATCTGGAAAGTGGGATAAAGGAGCATACCCACCACACACTAGTCATGTGTGAAACGCAGGGCCCACAAGGCCGGGTGCCCGGCGTGCCTGGTGAGCAACACGTTAGCAGTGAGTCCGACGCTTCGCAGAATTAGACACCTATTTAGAGGCTTGCTTTAACTGCTAAGAATTATGTAGTGGTATTTTTATTTAAGAGGCAGAAAAGAACAGTTGCTGACCTTACTGGTTCTCTCTCCAAACGCCTGGGATCTGGGAACTCTATCCAGGTCTCCCATGTGGTTGTCAGGGACCCAGTGGAAGTCTCCTTGCAACTGCCATGCAAGGGGGATTGTCTGGTGAAGATGATGCCTCAATTCTTGGGCCTGACAAGCATGGTCGGTACATTTGAAACACTTCTTAGAACCGGCGCCCATATGGGAGCCCCGGGGCATGCAAGGCGAGGACCTTAACCACTGCGCCACCGCGCCGGGCCCGAATATGGTACTTCTTCATATCATTTTTATAACTTTTTTTTTTAATTTGGTGTTTTGGGGGATAAAGCCACAGACTATGACACCTATATCCTGTGTGTACCCTGGTTTGTCCCAGTTGCTCCACTCCAACCCAGCTCCCTGCTAATGTATTGGAAAAGCAGTGGAGGATGACCTAGTTATTGCCCCCCTTCGCCATGGACCCTCTGCCACCTGCGTGGGAGAGCCAGAGGAAGCTTCTGGCTCCTGCCTCTGCCCTGGTTCAGCTCTGATTGTTGTGGCCACCTGAGGAATGAACTAGCATTTCTTTCTCTTTTTTTTTTTTCCTCTCTATATAACTCTGCCTTTTAAGTAAGTACATCTTGGGCCCAGCACAATGGCCCAGCAGCTAAAATCCTCGCCTTGCATTTGCCAGGATCCCATATGGGCACCAATTTATATCGCTGCTGCTCCACTTTCTGTCCAGCTCCCTGCTTTTGGCCTGGGAAAGCGGTAGAGGATGGCTCAAGGCCTTGGGACCCTGTACCTGTGTGGGAGACCCAGAAGAATCTCCTAGCTCCTGACTTCAGATTGGCTTAGCTCTGGCCACTGCAGCCACTTAGGTAGTAAATCAAAGAATGGAAGATCTTTCTATATTACCTTCTTTCTGTAAATCTGCCTTTCTAATAAAAATAAACTAATCTTAAAAAAATATTTAAAATCTGTATGTGTACATACATACATATATATATATTTTTTGAGGGGCAGAGTGACATCTATGCACCGACAGATCGTCCATTTCCTGGTTCACTCCTGAAGTGGCTGCAGTGACTGGGGTGGATCCAGGCGGAAATCCAGGAGCCTGGGTCTGCCATTTGGGTGTCAGGACCCAAGTACTTGGGCCACCCCCCACTGATTTGCTAGAGGCATTAGCCAAGAGCTAGACTAGAAGTGGAACAAGACTTGAGCCAGTGCTTATATGGGGTGTTTGTTTCCTAGGGTTAACCAGTGCCATAATGCCAGCCCCTCATCACACCATTAATTATCTGAATCAGACCCGTTATTGCTGTAACATCCGGTAAAAAGAGTTTAAAATCAGTGAGAGTTCTTAGAGCAGATGGAACAAGCTGCCTAAAAACCCAGTGATCAGAAGTCATACGTTGCTTGGAGAACATGAATGTTGTCAAAGCAAAAACTTGAGTGAATCTAGGAAACACTCTTTGCCCGTGTGGTCTAGAGTCGTTTGCGTGGCATGTGTAGGACTTGAACAAGACGGAATCCAAATCCTGGTTCCGCTGCCGGTGTGGGCATGAGTTAGCCCGCCTTGCCGAGACACAGCTTCTTCGGTGAGAAGAGTTGTAGCGTGGTTGGTGAAGCTTGCTCTCCCTCCCCAGGGCGTCAGTTCTGTGCTATCTAAACATGAAGGAGCTGAGGTCACCCTGTTGCCTCACTGTCTGGGCTTCTGTTTCCTAGGATGAATGAAATGAACCTCAGCCCCGTGGGCATGGAGCAGCTGACGTCATCCTCCGTGAGCAACGCCTTGCCGGTCTCAGGAGGTCACCTGGGGCTGGCCGCCTCCCCCTCTCACAGTGCCATCCCTGCCCCAGGTGAGTGGAGGGAAGAGCTGCTGTGCACCCTGCACTGTGCGGATAATCCAGGAGAGAGCCCTGCGGCTGCCAGAGCACCTTCCAGGCAGAAGGGAGAAGCCCTGCAGGCCTGCAGGACACGTGGGACGTCGGCGCTGACCGGAGGGCAGCGTCTTGGTAGGGGACTGGAGTCATAGGGCACAGAAGAGGCTGTTGTGCTCAGGGGGCCTTTTGAGCTGGTAGCCTTTGGTGCACAGTTGGAGGTGCGTGCCTTGGCACTCTCTGCCAGGACTCGTTGAAGGAAGTCAGTGAAAGGCACTCTAATGGCTGTTCCCAGAAAGCGTGAGTAGAAGGGGTGCTCCCGGAGACAGAGCTGTGACAGGGACATCCCCGTGTGCCTCAGTGCTCAAAACAGCAGGAAAAACTCATTCATCTCTGCACTGTATTTGTGAAGCCATATTTTTGAACCTAGTTTCATTTTCTGTTGTAGTGGAAGAGAAATTGCGTAACCTGTGGATTAAGTGTGACATTGTAACATATCAAAATAAGAGCTGATGTCTAGGAGTATTTCATGTATCTGTTTAAAACCTTGCTTACTGGGGCTGGCACTGCAGTGTAGTGAGTAAATCCACTGTCGGTGGTGCTGTCACCCCGTATCCACACGGATTCAGATCCTAACTGCTCCAGTGCCGGGCCAGCTCCCTGCTCAGGAAAACAGCAGAAGGCGGACCAAGTTCTTGGACCCCTGTACCCATGTGGGAGACCCAGAAGAAGTTCCTAGCTTCTGCCTTCAGCCTGGCTTAGTTCTGGCTGTTTTGGTTATTTGGGGTATGAACAAAGATGGAGAATTGATCTCTCCTGCCTTCTCTCTCACTTAGCCCTTCAAATAAGTAAATAGCTAACAGTAAACCAGTGAAACGTTGCTCATTTGTGCAGCACGCGGAGCGTTTAGACCGTCTGCGGATGCTTTTCTCAGCCACATTAGCAAGGAGCTGGATTGTGAGGGAGCAGCTGGGACATGAACTGTTGTCCACATGGGCTGCTGCCTCGACTGCCATACAACAGTGCTGGACCCTAAACTGGGCGTTGAATTGTAGACGAAGAGCAGTATGGACAGCTGGAGGGTCAGTCTGACATTTTAAAACTAATTTCAGAATTAACTTTGCCATTAGAAATACTTTATTTAGTCCTGTTGGCGGATGTTTATAAGCACTGTGAAGGGATAAAAAGGGCTACTAAGTGTGACTTGCTCATGTGCAAGAATTTTTGTTTAAAAAAAGGCTTATCTGTTTATTTGAAAGCCAGAGAGGAAGAAACGGGCATCTTCTGTCCACTGTTCACTTCCCCAACGGCTGCTGGGGCCTGGCCAGGGTGAAGTCAGGAGTCAGCTGCTTCCGGGTGTCTGGATGTGCGGGGAGGTGAGCTCTAAGCATTGTACCTGCTCTCCCAGCCGCGTCAGCAGGGAGCCGGATGTGAAGTGGAGCAGCAGGGGCTTGAACTGGGGCTCATGTTGGCTGCTGGTGTTGCAGGCGACAGCTTTATGTGCAACACCACACTGCTGACCCTGCCAAAACCTTTCCTAGCAGTTTAGTTTCCTAGGTGTCCTTACAATTTTTAAGTTCTATCTTTTTAAGAAAAAAAAAATACTTTTTTTTTTTGCAGGCCTGCCCGTGGCAATTCCAAACCTGGGTCCCTCCCTGAGCTCTCTGCCTTCTGCTTTGTCCCTGATGCTCCCGATGGGTATTGGGGATCGAGGGGTGATGTGTGGATTACCTGAGAGAAACTACACCCTACCTCCGCCGCCGTACCCCCACCTGGAGAGCAGCTACTTCAGGACAATCCTGCCTGGTGAGCGCCGCAGGTTTCAACTTCTGTTCTTGGAGATTTCCATAACCCTTTTGCTGCTTGTCTCTATCAGTGGAAAGAAAGTTCTTGGTTTATACCTGTGCTTTTCCCCTCAGAAGGTGCAAGTGAAACGTTATTGATACAGTAGTTTGATAAAGCTAAAGTTCTTACAGAGACGTTTTCTGTTCCCTCTAGCACTCTGTATTTTTCAGTGTTTATTGCTCCTCCCAAGCGCAGTTCCTGCTGGCGTGGAGTTATCTGGAATGTATCGTGTTCTTTCTCACATACTCACTGCAGACAGTTGAGCAGATTAGGGCGGAAGGAAGCCACCCCGTCCCTATTCTCTGCCTTTTCTCTTGGTGTGTGGCTTTTGATCATTCTTCGTAGTTGAGTCTGTCTCGGGCAGGCGTCCTGCCACGCAGTTGTCCCATGAGTCAGTGCCCGAGTCCTGGGCCTGACTCTGCTTCTGCTTTTCCCTGCCTGCCGACGTGGGGAGCCCCCGCTGAGTCCTGGGCTCCTAGCTTCCACTGGCCCGGCGCCCTCTCGTGGAACTCGGTCTCCCCCTCTCTGCCTTCCAGAATATTTCTTGTAAAGCAAATTTTAGTCTTAGAAGTGCAACGTATGAATAGTAAAACAGTATTTAAATGATTACTTTCTAGTCAGCATCAAAAAAATAAAGCTCAGTTTTAGGATTTTGAAGTATTATGGTACTTGTGTACTGCTGATTATAGATTATACATGTGTGTTGATAAAAACAGATTGCTTTAAGTTATTTTTTTAAGAAAAATAGTTTGTAGTTGTAAGTAGCAGCTGAATTCCTTTTGTCTAGTAATGTACTAAAAATTCTCTCGTGTCTCATCTTTCCCATTTCTCAGGCATTTTGTCTTATTTAGCTGACAGGCCGCCTCCTCAGTACATCCACCCCAACTCCATCAGTGTCGACGGCAACACAGCACTGTCGATTGCCAATAACCCTTCGGCACTGGATCCCTACCAGTCCGGTGGCAACGTTGGGTTAGAGCCGGGCATCGTGTCCATAGACTCTCGCTCCGTGAACACGCACGGTGCCCAGAGTCTGCATCCCAGTGACGGCCATGAGGTGGCCCTGGACACAGCCATCACCATGGAGAATGTATCCCGGGTTACCAGCCCCATCTCTACAGACGGCATGGCGGAGGAGCTGGCGATGGACGGTGTTGCTGGCGAGCATCCCCAGATCCCGAGCGGCTCCAGGAGCCACGAGCCTCTGTCCGTGGATTCTGTGAGCAGCAGCCTTGCAGCAGATGCTGTAGCACATGGCGGTGTGATGCCGATGCACGGCAACGGCCTGGAGCTCCCTGTCGTCATGGAGACGGACCATCTTTCCAGCCGGGTCAGCGGCCTGTCCGACAGTGCCCTCGGTGACTCCATCCATACCGTGGCCATGAGCACCAACTCTGTAAGCGTGGCACTCTCTACCTCACACAACCTCGCCTCCCTAGAATCCGTTTCCCTCCACGAAGTTGGCCTCAGCCTAGAACCTGTGGCTGTCTCCTCCATCACGCAGGAGGTTGCTATGGGGACAGGCCATGTGTCTTCAGACAGTCTTTCTTTTGTACCACCTTCACTGCCAATGGAAGACTCCAATTCAAACAAGGAAAACATGGCAACCTTGTTTACAATTTGTGAGTGTCCCTAGCCTTTCTCTTCTGGAAATGCTCATTTCTAAGAAGTTATTCACAAAGCCTTGAATTGATTAAGTAGAAACTAACTAGACTGTGGAAGTTTGCTTTGCTTTTTTATTGCTTTTTTACATTTATGTGGTGCCTTTTCTTCAGGTAACCCAAATGATAAGCACACATTTTGGTAGCATCCACCTCGAGAAGGTAAATACAACATCATCATTTCTGCTAGGCTACAGCACTGGACCCTAATTTTAAAATTTTTAACCACTCCTTGGAGAAGCATCATCCCCAGTTAGTAGTTGCACCCCACCTCCTCCTGTTTTGTATTCTCAGGCAACCACTGGCCTCCAGTATTTCTCCGTGGACTTTCCTGCGCTGCACATTGCATAGACAGGGAAGCGTGTGACATGTGGCCTTTGTGCCTGGCTTCCTTCCCTTGGTGTGTGGCGTGTGTCAGTGCTTCGTTTGTATTGCTGGTGGGCTCTGCAGGGTGGATAGCACATTTTACGTACCGAGTCGGTGGGCGTCTGGGAGGCTCCCCTTAGGTCTGCTCCTCATGCTGCTGTCCACACCCCTGGCAGCTGTCTGGCTCTCCCACACGTGTGTTTAGGTGTGCGGCTGCTGCGCCTGGCTCTGGGCGGAGCTGCCGGACCAGCCGAAGTGGCTGTGCCGTTTCCTTTTGCATCCCGAGCGGCGGCGTGTGAAACAGTGCACGCTCTTTGTGACTCCCATCCTGAGGGAGTGAAGTGACAGCTCACCATGGCGGTCACCTGTCCGGTGACTTTAAGCGTTTTTCAGGTGTTTCCTCGACTTTGCTGTATCTTTGGGGAGAACACCAAGTGTTTTGTGCAGTGCGGGGCTGCTGAGTCTCCTTTAGCTGCGTGCTTCTCTCTCTCCAGAGTATCTGCTGCCGAGTGGAGGGTGTCTGGTGTGATGAGTTGAGGGCAGTAGCTGCAGAAGTACAGTCTGCATATTGCTACTGTCTCACCTGGATAGGGAAGCTTGCTGAGAGCTGAGACCCTGGGCGTGGGGATGCTGAATGGATTGCTAAGGAGAATAAGACATTTAGGTGGCTATGCCAACTATTTTGTGAATGAATTTGGAAAATTAGGACTCAGTCATTGACGAAGTGTTATGAATGTTGTCCCTTAGCTGAGAGAAGGAAAAATATAAGGAACAGAGTGAAGGGTTTTTAGAAAAGGCTCAAATCTGTGAAGTTGTAAAAATTAGCAGTGTGTGACGACAGAGCCCTGTTCTACAATGCAGAAAGATTGTATGAACAGTAAGAAATTAGGAGGTTTAAGCAAATATGTCTGCAAGATTACAATTTTAACTGCTCTTCCACAGGGTAGGCTGTGGATTTTTCTGTCTTAAGAAGCGTGTCCTCGGAGCCTGGAGGACTCGGTGGGCTGTAGGACAGCACAGGAATACAGTGAAGAATTTAATGAGGAAAAAACAAGTTTTTTGAAGAGTTGACATTAAAAACAAAAGCCTTAAAATCCATGATCTATACATTCCGCTGATCTTTGTTGAAGAGATGCAACTCCAGCTGGCAGCAGATAGATGGGTTTTGTGTTTTTAATCCAGTGTGCTAATCTATGACATTTGACCAAAGAGTCCAAGCCATCCACATTCAGGGTTAATATAAATAGGTGGTAATTTTTTCGTGTCATTCAGCAATGGGCTGTTCATTGATTTAGTCTAATGTTGTTAATTTTACTGGGATGTTCTTCACATTTACCTTCGGTTTTGGTGGGTGCTATTACTTTTCTCTGGCAAGAGAACATCTTTAAGTATCCTTTGAACTTTTCTTTACTGTGGAAGAATTTTATTTCATTTTCAAAGACAAAGGAAAGCTTTGCTGGGTATGTTATCTTAGGCCAACAATTTTTTTCTTTTAGAATCTGGAACATATCACTCCCTTCTCTTCTGGCCTGTAAAGTTTCCTGTGAGAGATCTCCTGTGAATTTAATTGCCATTTTTCTGTATGTCGATTGATTTTATTCATGTGCACATTTAAGAATCTTTTCCTTACGTTTGATTGAAGAGAGCTTGATTATCATGTGTCTTGGTGAAGATCGCTTCAACCCTATTGGGAATTCTGTTCCCCTCCTGGATGTTGCTTCCCAATACTTTCTCCATATTAGGGAAGTTTTCCTTTTATTTCAAAATACACATTTTTAAACCCAGCTTCTTTTACTGCACCTTCTGGAACTCCCGTAAGTCTTATGTTTGGCTTTTTAATAATGCCTGTTAATTCTTGAGAACTTTTTTTTTTAGCTTGACCTAACTGCTTTTTGGTTGTTTCCCCGTGGTGACAAGAAATAGGTTTCAATTTTGAGGTTCTTTCTTCTGTCTTCATTCTGTTTTTGAGACTCTGCACTGAATTTTTAATTTGCTCTGTTGCGTTCTTCATTCCCAGTAATCCGGCTTAAATTTGTCTCAGTGTTGCTCTTTCCTGTATGACATACCCCTTAAACTCCTTGAGCTCCTGTATGTGCTGCTCATTGTTGGTAAGAAGCTTTATAATGAGTTTTCTGAGTTCTGTATCCCCCATTTTCTGTATGTATTCCTCAGCTGACTCTGAGGTTGGCGAAGGCATTTGCTCCTTTGCAGGGGAATTTTCACTGATGTTCATTTTACCTTTGTCTCCTCTTTTGCTCTTGGTCATTGTACTTCTGGCTAGCAAAGTCTTCTCCTTGGGGCAGGTTTCTAAGCTCTGTCACCCACAGGTCTACAGTTTGATTTTACTTACTGTGGTTGGTGCACGGCTCTTTGTTTGCAGTCACTTATGCCACTCCCTCCAACGAGTTTCAGATCGGGCTCTTATGTTGGACTTCACCGTGGTCTCAGTAGCCCCAGCTCCTGGCTCAGCACTCTGCCTCCTGTGATCCTGTGCTGTTGTTGTACCTTTATCTCTACAACCTTTTTCCAGTTCTGGCTCACGCAGTTCCCAGGATTAGGGTGATGCCAGGTGTCCTAAATAGCTAGTTTGCTGAGGGTGCTGATCTTTGCAGAACCTGCTGGCTGTTAGGTCTGAGGGCCACATGGACCTGTTTTGAGTTGTAATATGCCAAAGTCAGTGTTTTTTTTTTTAGTAATATTTATTAATTTTTATTGCAAAGTCATATATATAGAGAGAGAAGAGGAGAGACAGAAAGAAATATCCTCCATCCGATGATTCACTCTCCAAGTGACCATAGTGGCTGGTGCTGTGCTGAACCAAAGCCAGGAGCCAGGAACCTCCTCCAGGTCCCCAACGTGGGTGCAGGGTCCCAAGGCTTTGAGCTGTGCTCGACTGCTTTCCCAGGCCACAGGCATGGAGCTGGATGGGAAGAGGGGCCACCAGGATTAGAACCAGCACCCATGTGGGATCCCGGTGCGTTCAAGGCGAGGACTTGAGCTACTAGGCCACCGCGCCAGGCCCAGTCAGTGTTATTTTTGATGTGGGACCTGTGCAATGCACTGAGCTTAATGAGTTGCTCCCAGCTCAGCACATGTGCAGTGGCACTGACTCCTAAATTTATTTTGTATTTACTATTATTAAGGGATGCTTGATTATTGAAATGTTTAAAAAGAGTTAGTTGTTTGTTTGAATTGCAGAGGTAGCAAAAGAAGAGGAGAGTCAGTGAGCTGCGTCCGTCGATTCGTTTCCCGGATGGCTGCAGCAGTCGGGACTGGGCCAGGCCAACGCTAGAACCAGGAAGTTTCATTCAGGGCTCCCATGTGGATGCAGGGACTCAAGTCCTTGAACCATCTTATGCTGGTTTCCCAGATACGTTAGCAGGGAACTGGATCGGAACCGGAGCAGTAGCAGTTGAAACTCAGCTGACACTGATTTGGGGTGCCGTCACTTCAGGCACCAGCTTAACTCACTGTACCACAATACCAGCTCCAGCTTTTTTTGACGAATCTTTTCTAACACAGGAAACGTGTCCTGATGGATCAGAGAGGAGAAAAAGTTAGATCTTTCTGAAGCCAAGAGAGGTATAGGTAAAAGTGGATGTGTGAGTGTGGTTTAATGTTGGAAAGTACCTTTCGGATCAGAATATTTCTAGAAGCTGGTTTCTGCCTGGTTATATTTCAGTAACCAGCGTTTTAGAAACCAGGTGGCAACTTAGAGTCAGAGTGAAGGAAACGCATCTGTGTGTCTTACCTTTGCCGCCTGCAGGGTGTACCCTGTGTGACCGAGCCTACCCCTCGGACTGTCCCGATCACGGCCCTGTGACCTTTGTTCCTGACACGCCGATAGAGAGCAGGGCAAGGCTGTCCCTGCCGAAGCAGCTGGTCCTGCGGCAGTCGATTGTGGGAGCGGAAGTAGGTAAGCAGCTTGGAACCCTCAGGGGCCGTCGGGTCCCCTGTTCTCGCAGGGTGGTCATGCAAGTGGGTGTGTGTAGTCTGGTGACCCCTTGGCTGACCGAAAAGTCACTTAGGGCTCAGGGCTTGTGCTCTGAGGGAGTGTTCGTCTTCCCTGGTGGTGATAGCGGCATATGCTCTCTTGGCAAAGCAGCCCTGAATTGACTAGAGGAGAAAAGCTGGCTTGAGTCTGTGAGGACTTTTCAGCTGTCGTGCCATGTACTAACAGTTATTTCCTAAATCTTAACATTTTAAATTTTTATTTTGAAAGGCTGATTTTAACAAAAAGAGAGCGGTAAAGACAGAGATCTACCATTCACTGGTTCACTCCCCAAATGGCCGACACCTTCAGAGCTGAGCCAATTGGAAGCCAGAAGCCAGGAGCTTCTTTCTGGGTCTCCCACATGGGTACAGGGGCCTGAAGTCCAGGGCTGTCCTCTGATGCTTTCTGAGGTCATAAACAGAGAGCTGGATCGGAAGTGAACAGCTGGGAGATGAACTGGCGATGTGAGATGCCAGTCCTGCAGATGGAGGGTTCACTTGCTGTGGCACCAGACTGACTCCCTCCTGGCGGGCATTCAACAGCACTTGACACTTAGTTGTTTGTTTTTTTTTAATAGAAACATGGAAATTTACTATTAATGGGGTTTAGATCAAATGTGTATAAATTGTCTAATACTCCTTGGGAGTTAGGAATGCGGACTGCTAGAATCTACTTACGTTTGACACTAACGTGGCCTCTGAGTTACTGCGCCATTACATTCAAGTACGAGGGAGGTTGTTCTTCCACCTGCAGCTGTGGCTGGGGCTGTTGGGAGGTGCTTTTGGGCTTAGATAACACAAACCAGCACTTTAAACACAGGCATATATTTTGTAATAATTGCTTACATTTTTTACGGTAGATTGATATCTTTGTTCTTTTTTTATATCTTAACTCCAAAATCATATCTAAAGGGATAGTCATAGTCCTTATTTTTAGGAGTTTCTGATATTGCTTTTTACCCTGCTTTTCTTCCTGGCCCCATTTAATCTGTTCACTGTATTTTATACATTCATAAACTAGGACCACAAGGAATGCTGCGTAGTAGTAGTTCTTTGGTTTGCATGTGAATTGTTGATCATTCCACTGACAGGGGTGTGGACTGGAGAGACCATTCCTGTGCGAACCTGCTTTGGACCTCTGATTGGCCAGCAGAGTCACTCCATGGAAGTGGCAGAATGGACTGACAAGGCAGTGAACCACGTCTGGAAGGTCCGTACAACTCGTCTGTGGGGCGTTTGTGTGTTTTTGTTATGACCAAGTGGTAAACCAGTGATACAAAGTCAGAGTTAGCCAGAGCTGGTACATACCATTCATTTTTTTTTTTTTTAGTCACCATTATGACATTCTTCCTGTTGCTGTTGGTAACCAGTCTGTTGAAAATAAAGGATTGGGGCCATGGTTGTGGTACAGCAAGTTAAGCTGAGGCCTGCAGTGCCAGCATCTAGTATGGGCACTGCTTGGATCCCACATATTACACTTCCTGTCTGGCTGCTTGACAGTGCTCCACATTCTTGGTTCTTGTCCCATGTGGGATACCTGCATGGAGACTGGTTGCAGCTTGCCCCAGCCAGCCACATTGTGTCCTTTTAAGAAAAGAACTAATTGGGCCCGGCATGTGATCTAGCAGCTAATGTCCTCGCCCTGAATATGCCGAGATTCCATATGGGCTCTGGTTCTAATCTGGCAGCTCCACTTCCCACCCAGCTCCCTGTTTGTGGCCTGGGAAAGCAGTCGAGGATGCCCCAAAGCCTTGGGACCCTGCACCCACGTGGGAGACCTGGAGGAGGTTCCTGGCTCCTGGCTTCGGATTGGCACAACACCGGCCGTTGCGGTCACTTGGGGAGCGAATCATTGGACGGAAGATCTTCCTCTCTGTTTCTCCTCCTCTATGTATATCTGACTTTCTAAAATAAATAAATGAATCTTAAAAAAAAAAAAGGAAAGAACTAATGGATGAAAGGCTTCTCTTTCTGTCTCTGAACTGTGCCTTTCAAATAAAGGAATACATCTGAAGAAAGGAAGATAATAGAGGATAAATTGTCTTCATTTTGCAAGATAATCCAATGGTTTTAATAATTACATGCGATTAGGCCAAGAACTTCATTTATATGATGAAAATCTTATTTTGTAATGAACTTAAACATTCCTCAAACATTTTTATTTATTTGAAAGGCACAATTCTAGAGAGCTAATGAGCGAGAGACTGGCAGAGATCTTCATCCACTGGCTCACTCCCCACATGGCTGCAGCTGCCAGGGCTGAGCTGCTTCCGGGTCTTCCTGGGGCACAGGTACTTGAGCCATCTTTTGCTGTTTTCCCAGGCACATCAGCTGGGAGCTGAATGGGAAGTGGAGCAGTTGGGACATGAAACAGCATCGATGTGGGATTGGTGCCCGTGTGAGGTGCCAGCGTTGTAGGCAGTGACTTAACTTGCTATGCCACAGTGCTGGACCCAGAAATTTTTGACATAAACTACTATTCATACGTCTTGATGCAATCTCAGCCAACAGATTGGGAAAAATGTTTGCAGACTTGAAGTAGTGGAAAGTGGGAATGTGGGGTCCACCTGTCTTGAAGACTGTCACTTTAGGGTCCAAAATAGAACACAGAAAAATGCCTGTTTCTTCTGGAAGAATAATAGGAATGCATGGTCCTCTTCTTGTGGTAGAACTTCAGTCATTCACACAGTCCATAGCAGTGTGTTGTGTGCTAGGTAGACCAGTGTTTGGCCTTTTCCAGACAGAAGGGGAATAATCACCAACCAGTGCATTCTGTGCACTGAGCGCTGTCAGTTTGTGATGGTCTTTATTGTTGGGAATAGAGGGAATGCCTGTGGGGACGGCAGCCGTACCGTTACACACTGAGAAATGGGAAATAAGATGATGGCTGGCCAAGGTTTAACATCTGATGGCTGTCAGTTCATTTGCCGTGGGTGTTTGCTTTCTGTTAACAGATCTATCACAATGGTGTCCTAGAATTCTGCATAATTACAACTGATGAAAATGAATGTAACTGGATGATGTTTGTGCGCAAGGCCAGGTAAGCACATCCTTTGGGGAGAAAGTTTATCATTCAGACTTTTTCTTAAATAGAAATATTCGTAGAAGGTAGCACAGAGCTCAGGGATTCAGATTATACTGGGGTCTGGAGACATTTCAAGCCTAAGGCATTTCATCATCTTTCCTCTAGTAATGGTTATGAATCAGAAGGCACAGAGTTATCTTTTATGAGCGATTTACTCAGCTTACTAATAAATAAAGAACGATACCATCAGCACTAAGTCTGCAAGTTGATGCCTTCTCAGTATTTTGGCCGTTAGTCAATCTCCCAGGCTGCTACTGGAATTGATTTTTGTTCAGCTAGCACTCTTTGGCATTTTTAAAAAGACTTTGTTTATTTACTCCTTTTTGCTTCCAGTAACAAACTTGAGTTTGAGTAAGAAGTTTGTCTTTCTGTAAGTCCCTCCCAATAGGTAGGATAGGCAATTGCGGAATGACCCACTGGGACTAGTGCTGTGCAGGTTTTCAGAAAGGACTCTGCTAGAAGGAGGTATAATGTGTTTCATGTACTTGTTAAAGTCAGTGTATTTGATGTATTTAATGGACTCTTAGGAACCGAGAAGAGCAGAATTTGGTGGCGTATCCCCATGATGGAAAAATCTATTTCTGCACCTCCCAGGACATCCCTCCTGAAAATGAACTGCTTTTCTATTACAGTCGAGATTATGCTCAGCAGATTGGTAAGTTAATGCTGGATTTGCTTGTTGGGTACCTGGCATAGAAAAATCACCAAGAACCAGGAGTAAAGTTCTGCTAATAATGTGTATGTCAGCTGAGGCTCATCCTGTACTTTGTGTGAAGGAACTTCAAAAAAGTTCATAGAAAATGGAATTAAAGGATAAAATATAGAAGTGTAAACTTTATTTCTCAGTGCATGGCAATTGTGTAAGTAATGGTACCAACCATTTAGTCCATCACCAAAGAACTGAGAGCCCTACAATTCTGGCCTTGAGGTTACAGACTTTTACAATTAACTGAAGGAAAATGTACGCCTTTAAAGGTTTTTTCTCTTAGGAGTAGGAACAGAAAGAGCTCACCAGGGCAGGCTGGTAATGTAGGTGTCAGATGGAAACTCACAGCTGCCCGTGTTCAGTGAGAGGAAGCGCACAGGCTCTGTCAGAGTGGAGGATGCTGGTGAGGCTGGCCGGTGTTGTCACAGTCTCCAGGTGTTCTAGTAAGAGGGGGCCGTCCAGAGTCAGCGAGCAGCGCTGAGCATTCTGGATAACTTGCCGCCACCCTTGTTCTGGACTACTCTGGTTTTGCTTTGATTGGGCTGCCTCTGCCTCCCAGATTCCATTCCTTGCTCTTCAGGGCGGTGCTGGTGAACCATCTTTCATCTCCCTTAAGGTTCTCCAGGGAAGTGCCTCGGGCTCCTGAAATGGCTCTGCTGCCTGCCTTTGATGTGGGTGCAGCAGCTTTGGCCCTGCTGAGCAGGAAGCTTGCTCCACTTTCATTTTCCAGTCAGAACTGTGTGAGCTGAAGCAGCTGAGGTATCCATATGTTTTGACTGTTGATCATTGATCCTCTTCAGTTATAACATGAACACAATTTGTTTTTTTCCTCTCAAATGAAGGTGGATCGTCTGCTGCTGTGGGCCTCCTCCTACAGCATGGGCTCTGGCTTTCCTGCCCCTGCTTTAAATGACTTTAGCCAGTTGTAGACTGCTGACTTTGGAGGGGTAGGGTGTTGTCCCCATGAATTCTTCATAAAGTATCACCGAACGTGCATTCTTCCATCTGGCAGTTTGATGTTTGGTCCTGGCTGAATTTTAGCAGAATTTATTTAGTTCTGATAGGGGCTGTTTTCAAACTGATGTCTTCCTTTGCTGTAGTTCTTCAAAATTTGTTCAGACACGCTATAACAATTTAGTACGTGTTTATTTTGGTGTAAACATTTTGAAGTGTGAGTAGTTTTTTATGTAATAACTATTTGCCATGAAATTTTTAAGACTCTGTGTATATATAAAAGCAAGCTGTTACCCCTAAATTTGCAGTGTTAAAATCTGTGAAGTTTGTTGCAAGCTGATTGTTATTCACTGAGCAATATTCATGTGAAGTGATGTTTTCTGGTAGGACTTTGAAAGTTACAGTGGCAGCTTTGCAGCCAGTACTATCGAGGTTTAAATGTTTGTAAAACAGACAGCACATTCCGTTGGTTTGATTCAACCTGCGCAGGCTTTCTCTTTGTTCTGTACCATGATGACAAGTTATGTTTAAGGATTTGTGATATAAGATCTGAATGTTTTGTCTAGGAAAGAGGGCTGATAATCCAGTATTTACTGTGTACCTGTATAAAGGCTCTGGAGGTAAGAGCATTGATGTTTAGTTTTATAGGTAGTTGTCAAGTTATAAATTTTGTAGAAGAGAGTATTGCAAAGAACAATTGTTAATATCGAGAATAAGCTTTAAAACTTAAGCATCGGGAGACACTGAGTTAATTTTTTTCAGGTGTTCCTGAACACCCAGATGTGCACCTCTGTAACTGTGGCAAGGAGTGCAGTTCTTACACAGAATTCAAAGCTCATCTGACCAGCCACATCCATAACCATCTTCCTAGCCAGGGCCACAACACCAGCCACGGGCCAAGCCACAGCAAAGAAAGGAAGTGGAAGTGCTCTATGTGCCCTCAAGCTTTTATCTCTCCTTCTAAACTCCATGTCCACTTTATGGGTCACATGGGAATGAAGCCCCACAAGTGTGATTTCTGTAGCAAGGCTTTTAGTGACCCCAGCAACCTGCGGACCCACCTCAAGATACATACAGGTAAGGAGTATGGGTCGTTAGAGGCAGGGCAGTAAAGACTTTGCAGAGAGATGGTATTTACTCTGCAGGTGGAGTTGTGAGATGATGTCGGAGAAGGCTCCAGATGGCTGTTGGCGGGAGCCCGTCGGCTGGTAAGCCTCAGAGAGGTAAGACAAGTTCCTCGGAGGGTCCTGCTGCCAGTTACTAAGGCGCTGCACTGTCCAGGTGCTGCCTCCACTGCAGTTGGAAGGTGCTTGGAAAAATGCAGGAACTCTGGGCCAGTGTGTTTGGGCTTAAACAAAGGGAATTCTATAGAAATAACCTGATTTTCCTGTTAAGGCGCATGCCTAGTCAGATGCCAAAGCCAGTTTGTCTCCTTTGATCTTGCACCATAAACACTGTCGAGGTTTGGTTTTCTGAGCTGTTTTCTAAATTCCATGCAAACCTACCCCTTTGTTTTTGCACTTTTTTTCATGCATACTGCAAAACTTTTAGCTTTCTTGGTTGGGTCATTAGATCTTTAAAATTTCCAGGGGAAGTTTCTTCTTCCTTCTGTATTAATCCTGAGTGTTTGATATAGAGATCAGAGAGCAAGCAAAGCCTACAGTTCTGGCTAGACTTCAACAAGGTGTTTGTCAGCTCCTCAACTCCCTCCTGGCTCTTTTTTTTTTTTTTTTTTTTAAGATTTACTTATTTGAAAGAGTTGCAGAGAGAGAGAGAAGAGTAATCAATTTTCTGTCTACTGATTCATTCCCCAGATGATCACAATAGCCACGGCTTGGCCAGGCTAAAGCTAGGAGCCAGAAGCTTCAGCTACATGTGATTTGCAGGGTCCAAGCAATTGGGCCATTTTCTGCTGTTTTTCCCAGACCATAAGCAGGGAGCTGAACCAGAAGTGAAGTAGCTGGGACACAAGCCATTGCAGATGGCAGCCTAATTCACTACACCACAGTGCTGACCCCAGCCCTGTACTTCTAGGTCCTGTTTCTCTGTCCTTGGGTTTCATTTCACTCCCAGTCATATTTTAGGTTGAGAGAGAGAAAATGTAGGTGGTTGCCAGGGTAGACATTGAGCTTTGAAGTTAAGATGACGGTTCGGGTACCCCTATCCCATATCAGAGGACCTGGGATGAGTACCTGGTGCCAGCTCCTGATTCCAGCTTTCTGCCCAAAAGGATCCTGGGGCCCTCAGGTGACAGTGGTTGAGTGTGGACTGCCCAAGTAGGAGCGATGGGTTGAGTTCCTGGCTCCTGGCTTTTCCCCTCGTCTGTTGCAGGCATCTGAGGTATATGAACCAGAGGGTGGGAGTCCATGCTCTTGGTCTCTGTCTTTCTGTCTCTCCTCTCAAAAGCGTGTCTTTAATGCTTGCCTATGCAGTAGGGAGACTCTCTTAAAAATTGGACCTTTGTATGATTTTAGCAATCCCACTTCTGGTTACATATTTAAAAGAAATGAAATAAATCACTGAAGAGCTACCTGTGCTGTCATGTTTATTGTGGTTCTGTCCACACAATGGGGGATCCCTAAGGATCCATCAACAGGTGAATGGGTAAAGATGTCACGCAGAAAACTATTTGGCTGCCAAAAAGAATGAAATCTGGCCGTTTGCAGCAGCATGGTGAGGGATAATGCATTACTTGAAATATGCCAGACATAAGACAGATGTATTCTTTGTTACATAGAAGTTAAATAGAATTCTATTTGAACATAGAGTGGTGATTACCACAGGCTGCTGGGAGGGGTGGGAGGTCAGCTGACGGGTGCCAAGCCAGAGTTAGATAAAAGGACTAAGTTCTGGTGTTACTCAGCCCTATGGGATGACTACAGTTGAAAGGAATGTATTATAGATGTTCTCAATAAATAGGAAAAAGGAGCTCAAAGGTTCAAATACAAAGTAATGACCAAGAAAATGTTAATCATCCTGACTTTATCAGAACGCATTGCAAACATGTATTGAAATGTCATGCTGCACTCCATAAAGATGTATGGTTAATAAAAGTAAGAAAGGAAAGGAGTGTTTGCCTGCAGACAAGTACTAGAATTCATGAATTATGTTAGGTAGGGCACCAATATTTGAAGTGATCCATTTTTCTTTTTTATTTGTTGGTTTTTGTTGGAAAGATTTACAAAGAGAGAAAGGTCTCCCATCTCCTAGCTCACTCCCCAAAATGGCTACAATGGGTGGAGCTGAGCTGATCTGAAGCTGGGAGCCAGGAGCCACACGGGTGCAGGGTCCCAAGGCTTTAGGCTGTCCTCTACTGCTTTCCCAGGCCACAAGCAGGAAGCTGGATGGGAAGCGGGGCTGCCAGGATTAGAACTGGCACCCATATGGGATCCCAGCACTTACAAGGTAACAACTGACCAATTGAAGCATTGCACCAGGCCCCCATATTTTTTCAAATTTTATGCATTTTGTTATCTATAATAAATATTCAAATATGAATGTACATACATTGAGCTCAGATGTATTCACTTTCCTAGCTTTAGTTGCAGAATACAAGATCAGTGATTCTAAGGGTTTTTGGTGAACGGCTGTAGAAAATCTGTTTTGCTTCCACCTCTGCTGCAGGCCCGTCGCTGTGCCTGTTTGTGTCCTGAGAATTGCAGCCGTTGTCTTATCGCTGTGGTGCTGTGGGTTGCTTGGCAGGTCAGAAGAACTACAGGTGTACCTTGTGTGACAAGTCTTTCACCCAGAAAGCCCACCTCGAGTCGCACACGGTCATCCACACGGGCGAGAAGAATCTCAAGTGTGACTACTGCGACAAGCTGTTCATGCGGAGGCAGGACCTCAAGCAGCACGTGCTCATCCACACCCAGTAAGTGGCCCAGCAGCCAGCAGCTTGGCCCCCGTGGCGCAGCCCAGCCTGCCTCCGTGACGGCTGGCAGGGCAGCCTTGGTGTCATGGGAGGGGCCCCTTGTTTTCCACACCGCTGAGGAAAATCAGAGTGCTAACATCTTAAGTTTATCCTGAAGATTTCACCATCCTCTGACTTATTTCTTAATTTGACAGTGTATTCTCAGTACCTCCCTGATGCCTGATGCTGTGCTAGGAGGCAGAGCTGCAGATTAGAGACAAGCCTTGTCTTTAAAGAGCTGTCCTTGGCTCTGTCTTCAACTGCTGCCTGAGTGTGCGCTCACTTACCCATGGACAGCACAGTCCAGCACGACTCACATGGCTGTGAGTTTTACTTGTGCAGTTCTTTCCTTGACATTTCAGTTGGGAATTGACTCTCAGGCATTGACCTACAAAAAGCCAGTTTTCTGAACAGTGTGGATATGAACTCCTTGTCAGAATGAGGAAATACAGGAAGTGAGCGCCTTTACCAAGTTCCCATGCAGGGCGAGGAGTTTTGGACTGCCGAGGAAGGCTTGTGTAGGTTTGTGTAACACACACTGCTCACCCAGAATACATTTCCTAGGCTTCCTGTGAAGGTCCCAAGTGCTTAATTTTACTTCTGAGCATTTCAAAGGGGATATGACAATATTGTTGTTGTTATTTTTTTTTTCTGTTCTTAAAAAGAAAACTGCAACTCTAAATCCAAGTGCCGCAAAAGTGCTGCACAGTGTTCCCCTGAGCGTGGCAGGAACTGGTATTGTCTTTCCCCGAAGAAGGCGTTCAGGAGCAAGAGCAGTGGTGCCTGCTCCCTTGGGTGTTATTTGAGGACACTTCGTGGCTTTAGATGCTGTCTTTATGATGGTCTTACCCACTGTGTGCATCCAGCTTTGATGAGGCCGTTCTGATGCTGCTGATAGCCGCTGGGCAGTTCAGCGCTCAGTGCTGTCCCACAAACGGGATCTCCCAGTCCGTAAGCTGGGCTCACTGTTCACCCAGAGATTCAAGTCAGACACCTGCGAGGAGTCTTTCCTCCTTCAGCTGACGCTCTGCAGCCCACCAGCTTCTCTTGCGTGAGCACTGCCACAGTCTCACTCTGCTCCTGTCAGCTCTGCTCACCCGTTCTCCAGCACGCGCACACACACACGCACACCCCAGCATGGTCTCACTCTGCTCCTGCTGTCATCTCTGCTCACCTGTTCTACACACACACACACACACACACACACACACACAGAGTGTGGTTTCACTCTGCTCCTATCAGCTCTGCTCACCCATTCTCCAGCATGCACACACACACACATGCACCCAGCATGGTCTCTGCTCCTGCTGTCATCTCTGCTCACCTGTTCTACACACACACACGCACACACACACCAGTACTGTTCTGTCTGTAGTGACAGAGTGATCCATTTCAGAGAGCAATCAGATCCTACCCATATCCACACCTAGCCTGCAGCGGCTTCCTGCCCCGTCTGCCATAGCTTTGACATCCCTACACGATGCGGTGATGTACCTGGCTGCCACTTCCACTTTCTCTTGGGGGACTTTTCTCCTCCTTTCTGCTGTAGCCACACCTGCCGACCACTTGGTAAACCTGGGTGTACTCAGACCGCTGCACTGGCAGGGTCTTTGCCTGGAAGCTTCTCCCTTGACAGTCCTGCATGCCTTCCTTGCTTGCTCCCTTCTGCTTTCTGCCTGGATGTGGTCCCAGAATGGTCTTTCCTGGCTGTTTTATCTGTAGACAGACCCTATCACTTACCTGGCTTCATTTTTTTTTTCTAAGTTATCTGCCAGGAGGTTTCGTTTTTGTGTGTGATGTAAACTCTCCTAGCGCCTCTGGGGTATCTGGAGCGGAGCCTGTACATACTCACACTAGAGACGTAGGAGTGTGCAGGTCAGACTCCTAACTTGAGTTTCATTGAAGCCTTTGACAAGTTACTTCATTATGAATAGTGTTTCTGATCTGGATTAATGGCTTTTTAAAAGATTTATTTTTATTGGAAAGGCAGATTCACAGAGAGGAGAGAGAGAAAGAAAGATGTTCCATCTGCTGATTCACTCCACGAATGGACTCAACAGAGCTGAGCTGATCCAGAGTCAGGGGCCAGGAGGTTCTTGCAGGTCCCCCACATGAGTGCAGATCACAAGGTTTTGGGCCATCCTCCATTGCTTTCCCAGGCTATAAATGGAGCTGGATGGAAACTGGAGCAGCTGAGACATAAACCATTGTCCATGTGGGATGTGGAGGATTAGCCAGATGAGACAGTATGCTAGCCCTCGGATTAAATTGGACTGTTGATTTTAAAACTGCTCCGGAGAGTTCCAGGGATTCCACAGAATTATTGAGTGATATTCCATGAAGCACCACTCCAAGGAGTTAGCTCCCTTTTATGTCTTTTATATTGGGGTTTTATGAAGACATAGGGTTCCCAAAAAAAGTAAAAAAATTCCTTGTCTGTTGTCCTGTGAGGTTTTTTTAAGCTGCAAACTGGAGTGATCTTGCTCAAACCTTGACGCGGGTGACATTTTGAACTTGTTAGTTGTTTGTTGCAAGGCTGCCCTGGTTTTTTATGTTTTTAAGATTTCCAGCAGTTTCCTTAGCCAGTAGCACTGCCTCTCACCAATTAGGAGACCCCGGTAAGCCAGAAGGCTTGCAGCACCAAGGCAAATCAGTCCTGTTGAGAACTGCTAGTCAGTAAAAGAAGGAAAGAAAAATGACACTTCATAGGAGTGGTGTTGAGGGAAATGCAGGTTTAGTGCCGAATGAGCGCTTTGCATGCTGGTCTGCTGGCAGACACAGAAGCTGGGCGTGGGGCAGCAGGAGCTGTTGTCTGGTTGTGGAGGAGGCTGCGAAGGGAGAAGTTTGGCACCATCTAGAACGTGGTCTTTGCCCTGACTGTACTGCTGGGTATAATCTTAGAAAAACTCATGCCTGGGCCCGCCGCAGTGGCGCAAGGGGTTAAGGTCCTCGCCTTGCACGCCCAGGATCCCATATGGGCGCCGGTTCTATTCCGGCAGCCCTGCTTCCCTTCCAGCTCCCTGCCTGTGGCCCGGGAGAGCAGTCAAGGACGGCCCAAAGCTTTGGGACCCTGCACCCGCGTGGGAGACCCAGAAGAGGCTCCTGGCTTCGGATCGGCATAGTATCGGCCGTTGCGCTCACTTGGGGAGTGAATCATCGGACGGAGGATCTTCCTCTCTGTCTCTCCTCTCTGTATATCTGCCTTTCCAATAAAAAAATAATAAAAATAAATATTTAAAAAAAAAAAAAGAAAAACTCATGCCTGCCAGAGGGCAGCACACAGCAGTAGAAATGTTTGCATAAGAAAGAACTGGAAATCATCAGAATATCCATTAGCAGTGTACAAACCCAGCGCCGTGCACAAGCTGTGGTCTACTTGAAAATGTTATATAGCAGTGGGGATATAACAGACCAAGCGACCTGAGTGCATTTCACAGCATTAATGGGTGAAAGAAGCAAGACACAAGAAATATGTGCAGGTTGCCTCACTGACATCGAATTCTCGGGTTTGCAAAGTCAGCCCGTGCCGTTTCCCCTGGGCGGAGGCCGTGCAGCTCCCGGTGAGGAGCCTGCTTGCGGAGGCCGGGCCTGAGCATGTGAGCGACGCGTGCATGCCTCAGTTGTCAGTAACTCCCAAGTCAAACGTTGTTTTGTGTTCCTCTTAGAGAACGCCAGATCAAGTGTCCCAAGTGTGATAAGCTATTCCTGAGAACAAATCACTTAAAGAAGCATCTCAATTCTCATGAAGGAAAACGAGATTATGTGTGTGAGAAATGTACGAAGGCTTATCTAACCAAATACCATCTCACCCGGCACTTGAAGACCTGCAAAGGACCCACCTCCAGTTCGTCAGCCCAAGAGGAGGACGAAGAGGAGGACTCGGAAGAGGAAGACCTTGCCGAGTCTGTGGGGACAGAAGGCTGTAGGATGGGCAGTGCTGTGTATCCCACAGAGGAGTCTCTGTCCGCACACAAATAGGAGAACTTGCTGTGTCTGAACTGCACAGGGAAGAACACACGGACAGTCGTCCTCCATGGTGACTTGGATAGAAAACCATCCGATTGCTCTCCTGCCAACAGTCAAAGCGGACTGTGGGAATGGATGGAGCACTTAGGGAAGCCTATGTTATTGAAACACTTTAAAGCTGACTGGGAAAAGAGCGCATGCGTCCTGTTCGTGCGTGATAGGGAGGAAAGTGTCAGCTTTTTACATGGCCATCTGGTGGAGGCCTTTGCGCCTGCGTCCAGTCTGCCTTCTGCCTAGACAAATCAGAACTACTTCATGATCTTCCATTATTCCCCTCGCCTCCCAGCCCTCTGGGGGCATGCTAAATTTGGTCCCCACCCAACGGGTATCTCCGTTGCTGACTGAGTTTTATATACCCTTCGATGGTTTACGCTCTTTCCAGAACAGATTGCGACATAACCTGTAAGAGTGCTAGCCTTTACTGCAGCCAACAAGCGCAAAGCAGCACCTGCCTTAACCTCTCCCGGCTCCTCCAGATTTTGGCGTGGATCTTCCCAGATTTTCAGCAAATGCTAGAGGGCACATTTTAAAGGAACAGTCAGCCAGGAGAGACGCCTGGCTACTGTCCAGAACCCTGTCTCTGGTGGCAGCCAGGGTGTATCGCCCAGTTCTTGTTTCGGAGAGATTATAGCCAGTTGTACACAGGTGGCTCTCTGTCTCCAGTCCAGCCCCCAGTTAAGTCATAGGGTCCTTGGAGCCCAAATCATGCCTGCTGGATTGCCTGTTGACAGCAGTAACCTGTGGACTCACTGACAGAGTGGTACCTCCACTCATATTTGATTTCCCCAGTGAAAACTCCAGAACCATTGGAATGTTGCCCAGTCGAAGCAATGGGAGACTCCAGGTGCAATGGTGCATCTTCGAGGATAGGCCTTCTGGTTGTGTCACCAGGTGAGCGTGGACAGTGCCAGGGGATTTGGCAAGGAAGGAAGGGCACCCTCCAGGCTCAGCCTGCAGTGACAGCCTAGCTAATGATCTTTCCATGTGGTCGTTGTGTCCTCCGTGCGTATCCAGCTGTTAACCAGAGCAGTAGTAACCGTAAGTTGGCGGGGTTGGTGGAACGTGCTCTCCTGCTCAGAGGCACGCCCTCTGGTCTGGAGCAGAGCACTCTGGTGGAAAGGTTTGCTGCTATTGTATTTATGGAATGAATGTATTTCATTCAAATCTGTATTCCTCTAGGAAGGATGAAAATAAAAACACCTTTTTAAAATACAAGATTCCTTTTGTATCTCTTTTTGTAAAGGAAGAAGATGAATGGATCTATAGGGGAATACTATAGGAGAGTACAGTTTGAGTTTCCCTAAGAAGAGAAGAAATGGGTGGTGCTGAGGCACAGGTGGTTGCTGCTTGGTCGGGACACCCACATCCTGTATCGCAGTTCCTGGTCCAAGTTCCACTTTGGTTTCCAAACTGCTTCCTGCTAGTGCAAGTCCTCAGCATGGACTGTCTCGCATACTTTGGTCCCTGTCGCTCGTGTGCAGACCTGGGTGCAGTTCCTGTCCAGGGTTTGGCCTGGCCGAACCTTGGCTGTTGGAGCATCTGGGAAGTGAACTAGTGGATACAAGTTTTCTCACTTTGAAATAGAAAGTTTAAAGCAGAAGAGAAGGAAGCATTTCTCAAGTATTGACAGTTCTGACATGGTGTTCTAGTTGTTTCTGCCCAGTGTGCCCATCCCCCTGCCCTCTGTGTGAGAGGCTGGGCTTGCTGCTCCTTGGAGAACTGCAAAGGTCTGCCGACGGGGGCAACACTGCCGACCCTGGATCCCAAAGCCTTGTCCGGCAGGGTGGCTACATGCCCAGCCTTTCTCCAGGAGCATGCTGGAGACAGCTGCCCCTGTCCCTAGGAAACCAGTGGTTCTGGAACTGCTTCCTTCCTTTTCTCAGTAGCAAATACTGGGTTAGATTCCTTAATTTTCCAACAAAATGCTGAAGGGCCCAGCACGGTAGCCTAGTGGCTAAAGTCCTCGCCTTGCTCATGCTGGGATCCCATATGGGTACCAGTTCGTTCCTGGCGGCCCTGCTTCCTTTCTGGCTCGCTGCTTGTGGCCTAGGAAAGCAGTGGAAGATGGCCTAGAGCCTTGGGAACCCTGCACCCGTGTGAGAACCTGAAAGAGGCTCCTGGCTCCTGGCTTTGGATTGACATAGCTCCGGCCATTGCGGCCACTTGGAGATGTGAACCAGTGCTGAAGCTTTATGCTTTAAGCCTTATGCTCAAAAAACTGGAAATGATTGTTACAATTTTGTATATTTTTTCCCACACATGTAACACTATTAGGTAATATCAACAAATGGAAAGTAGAAAATAATAGCAAAAAAAACTAAAAGCTTAATATTCCTCAGGAGTATAAACAAGCACAGAACACAGCAGACAAGTCCCAGAGTGGTGTTCTCAAAGGTAAAGGCAACAAAGGAGGCAACAAAGGTAAAGGAGCCAGTGTGCCATCTGCGGGTGTACTCCCCAAATGGCTGCAGCGGCCACAGCTGGACCAGGCTGAAGCCAGGAACCTGCAGCTCAATCCAGGTCTGCTCTGTAGGCTGCAGGTGCCCAGGCACACAAGCCATCTTCTGTTGCTCTCCCAGGTACAGAAACAGGAAGCTGGGTTGGAAGAGGAGCAACTGGGACTGAAACCAGAGCCATATGGAATGCTGGCACCCCAGGCTGTAGCTCAACACACTGGCCCCTGTGCTTTAGGGTATATTTTATTTTTATTAAGAAAGATATATGCACTTTTTAGAGTTACAGGGAGAGAAATCTTCCATCGCTGGTTCAGTCTCCAATTGGCAACAATGGCCAGTGCTGGGACAATCCAAAGTCAGGAGCCAGCAGTTTCTTCCAGGCCGCTGATGTGGGTGCACGGGCCAAGCACATGGGCCATGCCCACTGCTTCCTGGGTGCTTTAGTGGGGAGCTGCATTGGAAGTCAGGCATCCGGAGCTTGAACCGATGCATGTGTGGGATGCCAGCACTGTAGATGGCAGCATCATCTGTCACACCACACACTAGTCACCCTCATTCTGTTTTCTTAATAATCAGAGAGAGCACTGATGAACGCCCTGAAAGCGTGGACACGAGACCGCTTACCTGCAGCTCGGGAAGGGCATGCTGGAGCACCGAGTGCTGGCGCGTCTCAGCTGGCCGGCCGATCACAACATGAAACAAAATCCTGCTGCTTCCAGCCGAGTCTCAGGTCAGAGACTGCTCACCAGCTTTTGTTCAGAATAAGGACCTGAATGATCACAGTGGGACTGCTGGCACAGCTGGGGCCCCATCTGCTGCTTTCCCAGGCCTTTAGCAGGGAGCTGGATTGGAAATGGAGCAACCTCCACTAGAGCTGGCTCCCATATGGGGTGTCAGCACCACAAGTAGAGGATTAACCGACCGTGCCACCATGCAGCTCCAATTATATCCACTTAAAGATTTGTTTATTTGAAAGGTAAATTTAGAGAGGAAGAGAGAAAAAATATCCTTGAGCCACTGCTTCACTCCTCAAAAGGCCACAATAGCTGGGGAGGGCTGGACCAGGCCGAAGCCGGAAGTACGGAATCCAGGGACGTCTTCCACATGGGTATGGGGGGGCCCAAGGATTTGAGCTGTCTTTGCTGCCTTACCGGACACATCAGCAGGGAGCTGGATCAAAACCTGAACAGCTGGGATTCGAACCAACAGTCGTGGGATACCAGCCTTGCTGGTAGCAGCTTAATGTGTACAACAATGCTGGGATAGTATCCACTGCTAACTTAACTTTGGAGAAAAGGACTCGGTTTGGGTGGGAGTATTTACTGGTGAAAGTTCTTCGGAAGGTCATTTGATAATATTAAACATTTAGAAAATATATGCACTTTGGCTCAGTAATTCTTCCAGAAATTTAGTCTGTATAAATGCTCACGCATGGCAAAAAAAAAAAAAAAAAGATTTGAGGCGGGCATTTGGTGTGGCCGTTTTCTGCTTGAGATGCCCGCATGCCATTTTGGAGTTCGGATCTCAAATCTTCCAATTTCAACTTACTGCACACGCGGTTGCTGGCTCAAGTAGTTGGGTGCCTGCGTCCCACGTGGGGAGATGCTGGTTGGGTTCCTAGAGTCTCACTTAGCCTGGCCCAGTCTCAGCTGCTGCAGCCATTTGGAGGCAAGCTACACGTTGAAAGATCTGACTTCTCTCCCTTTCTCTCTCTCCAAATGGAACCTCAACAGTGTGTCTTAGAGACACTTCCGTTAGTTCAGGTTTAGTGCTGCCGTTGTAAAGCCGCCCTCGTGCGGCTTAGCGTGTGTGAGCCGTCACCGACTCGGCCTTTCCTTCCAGAAGGCACTGAGGTTGCTTTTCCAGCTTGGCTGCTGAACTGCTGGTGTAGGAGCCGGCGCTTGTCTGCCTGTGTCCCCATGTCAAAATGTACACATCAGCACTCATGACCACCCTCCCTTCCCCAGTTTGAATGTCCCCACCGAAACACGCTGAAACTTAATCCCTACGGTATTGAGAGGGTGGGGACGTACTCTGTGGTATGCAGGCGGGCTCCTGAGGAGGTCAGTAAGGTTGAGTGAGACCATCGCCATGAGCCCTAACGCAGTGGGCCTGTGCTGATGAGAGAAGAGCCAGCTGAGCTCGCGCCGAGCGCCCACGCTGCCTCAGGACTCCACCCCACGTGCTGCCGCTGAGCTGCAACTCCACGGCCGGAGCGAGCCTGCGGGAGGTGTGAGTTGAATTACTGTACATTATTGCTGTGGTGTCCAGTCAGAGCAACCGGAAACACCTCTCCCTCGGCTCCCTGGGCTGCAGCGTCCGGGAAGCCAAAAACTGCTTCCCAAACTCTTCCAGCTAAAATTCCAAACCAAACTGAAGTTGCTCTTTGCTCAGCTGCGCTTGTGTGAGATGTTGAATGAACCGTGCAGTGCGAGAAGCGGGGCCTGGGGTGCTGACTCTGCGGGTGCCGCTGTGGCCGTGGTGGCATGCTTTCGGCTGCTGGCCAGGATGGGTGATGATTTTATGACGTGCCCAGGGAGTGGCACCTAGTCCAGCTTGTGCTCTTTGCTTCTCCGAGCTGTTGATATTGTGTAATGCACTCCTTTTGTTTAAGCTAACCGAAGGAGATTTGGTTGTCTGAGCTTAAGAATCCTGATGATGTCACTGGTGTAAGAAATATTGCAGGGGCCTGGCGCAGTAGCCTAGCGGCTAGTCCTTGACTTGCACACACTGGGATCACATATGGGCGCCGGTTCTAATCCCAGCAGTCCTGCTTCCATCCAGCTCCCTGCTTGTGGGCTGGGAAAGCAGTCGAGGATGGCCCAAAGCTTTGGGACCCTGCACCCGCATCAGAGAGATGTTCTGGACTCCTGGCTTTGGATCGGCTCAGCTCCAGCTGTTGCGGCCACTTGGGGAGTGAATCAGTGGACAGATCTTTCTCTCTGTCTCTCCTCTTCTCTGTATATCTGCCTTCCCAATTA